ATTCTGTGTTGTAATTGAAATCAATATATTTGAAAATGTAGAAAACATCCAAAAATATTTAAATAAATACTATTCTATTATTGTTTAACATTGCGATTAATTGCGATTAATTTTTTTTAAATCGCGCATTTAATCGTGATTAATTTTTTTTAATTGCTTGAAAGCCCTAGTTGAGTCCCATATCAATTTCTTTATTTATCAGTCAATGTCAGACTGACAGACCTATAATTGTTAGAAGCTGGTAGCTAAATACTTCAAACATCCTTCTCAGTTACTATGGACTGGAAAGTATTTCATTATCTTCATCTGATATGAGTACATCATCCTGCTTCTTTCAGATACAAAAATGAAATATTTATTGAATGCTCCTGTCATTTCTGCATAATTATTATCATTTTTACCATCTCCATTTAGGAATGGGTCTGCACCATTGCTAGGATTTCTGTTGTTGCTATTGTTATTATAGGTAAAAAACTCTCTCTTGTCCCTGGTGCCACCAGCCATGGACTTTTCCCTCATGTCTTTAGCTTCCCTTATCAGTATTCTGCACTTCATATCTTCTGATTTATATCAGTTCCTATTTATTTCTCCCATTTTCCATTTGTTAGGTATTGCTTTTTTATTTCTAATTGCTGCCTTCACTTAACCACTGTATCAGGTTGGGCTTTTGGCCAAAGTTTTCTTGAATGTGGAATCATGACTGTTTGGCCATCTAATGTCTTTTTAAACAACTCCCAGTTTTCATCACTTTTCTGTCTAAATTTGTGCTCCAAGCATTTTCACTCATAATTTTTATTAGCTTTCAGAAATTAACCCCTTTGAAGCACCAAATAAGTCTACTACTAGTTGGGTTTACCCCCGTTTTGCCCATATTTAATGTAATCAGATCATGATCTCTGGTCCCAAGCCAACCACCAGCTTCCATTTCAGTGATTAATTCATCTTTATTCATCATAATGAGGCCCAAAATAGAATTATTTTGTGTTGGGTGCAATATCTTTTGTGTTAGAAAATTATCATATCATTTTTAGAAACTCGGAGACCTCTAGCATGTATCTCCTAAATTGAAGACTTTCATCACAACACAATTTTATTTTCTACACGTTGCAGGCATGTGTTTAAGGAATAACTCATCCTGTTCTCTGATTTGATTCAGTGATCGGTAACAGGCCTCCAACCATACATCCTCTTGGGCTTTATTAGTTTGCACATTGATCTGTATGCATTAACAATCCTGTGGCTCTGAGTTATCACTAACTCTAAAACAGGTAATGGTGTTAATGTAGAGTGCCAAACCCCCACCCCCACAAACCCTTCTTGCTTACTCTGTCCTTCCTGAACAGTTATAACCTGTGATTTTAACATTCCAATCACACCAGTCATCCCACCGAATTTCAGTAATTTCTTCTCTTCAGTAAGAATTCCCAGTTCTTCTTGCTTGTTACCCAGACTCCTATTAATTGTATATAGGAATTGAAAAATGTCTTCTCTTCACAGTCTCATTCACATGGTTAGCAGGGAGAGGATTGATATACTCTCCCTTAGCAGAGGGAAGACCACTGCTGCACATAATAAGTGTAGAGGTTGCACAGAAATATGGTTGGGCCAGATGGTTGGATTAGGCCAGGGGTGGGCAAACTATGGCCCGTGGGCCATTTTAAGTTGGCCCGCGAGCCACACCACGTGGCTCGGCTCCACTCTGGCTGGGGCGCAGGGTTGGGCCGGACCACGTGGCTTGGCCCCGCTCTGGCACTCCAGCTGGGGCGCTGGGTCGGGGCCACACCACGTGGCTCTCGCCACGCCCCTACCCCGTGCCCCAGCCCTGATCCCCCTCCTGCTCTCCAAACCCCTTGATCCCAGCACGGAGCACCCTCCTGCACTCCAAACCTCTCATCCCCAGCCCCACCCCAGAGCCTGCACCCCCAGCCGGAACCTGCACCCCTCCCGCACTCCTGCCCCAGCCCTGATCCCCCTCCCAGCCCAGAGCACCCTCCTACACCCCAAGTTCCTCATCCCCAGCCCCACCCCAGAGCCCTCACTTCCTCCCGCACCCCAACCCCAATTTTGTGAGCATTCATGGCCCTCCATACAATTTCTATTCCCCGATGTGGACCTCAGGCCAAAAAGTTTGCCCACCCCTGGATTAGGCACTTCTCCCCATCAGAAAGTTGTGTTCAGACAAGTCAAAGATAGCTGCCTCTATGAGCCAGCCCCTCCTTGTGGAAAAAGAGGAAAATGCTCTCTAGAAAAATTCCCGCTCTGGGACACATTCATGCTTTGGTTGCATAAACTATCTGGGTAGCTGTTTTTGTTTTTAAAAAAAATGGCAAGTGAAAATCTCGAGTGTGGGAAGATCTTTTCCTTTTTTACCTTGACCAGAGTCGGAAAAATGCAGTTTCAAAAATGAATTTGGTTTCAAGGCCTTGAAATTTTAGTCACCACAGCCTGCAAAGGGATGTATAGTCTACCTCTATTGGGACGCCGTGGCCTGTCTCCTCACTCCTCCTGCTCTGGAAGTAGAAACATAGTTTCTGCAGTGCATTGGGTTTTATATGCATATTGTGGGTAAGAGGGAGCAGGATTGCCCCTTATCTTTGATGGGAATTTTATTGAAAAGTGAAGGCTTGACTGTTGTGGTATAGGAATGGGACTGTATAATTCTGATGGCTTATGTCTAATTTAAAGAACTAACTCCAAGACATACCTCCTGTTTGTACTTCTTAATGAATTGTGAACAGAAGTTTTTTATACATTTTCATTTCATTCTGTTTCACTCAGTGATGTCAGACTTGCTTGTAACGACATTGTGGAAAATTATTTCTTAAAACATTTTTTGTTGGGTTACATCAGAATTATATGCAAAACAATGCTTCATAACTGTGCTGTCTCCATACTTTTCTTCTGTACTATATTTTGGGGACTATAAAAGTAAGTTGTGGTGGCTGGTTTTGCTGATAATGAAATTACCCTAAATCATTCTCTTATTAAACAACTTAACACTTTATATAGAAAAATAAGAATTTTTGAAGCATGTATAGTACTAAATGTTAAACAGAATTGTATCTAATAATTTGGGATTCTGTTTTTAAAAATAGCTTGCCTTTTTCAAAACGACATAACTGTACAAATAAGACAAGCTTATCCCACTGGTGTAGAATTGTATTCTACAAATATGTTGAAGAATGTTAAGTAACTCCTAGCACAAGACTTATTTCCTATATGGTAGGAATGATTAAACAGAACTAAATTCTTTAGAATCTCTTGTAGAGTTTCTTCAGTTAGCTATTTGTCACCTTGATTTGGCACTGCTTTATAAGTGCACAAATTGGTAGATTAATGGTTGTAGAGAAGTCTGCTACTGTTTCATTTAGTTACATTATCCAGTACCCACAGAAACTATCATTATAGAATAGGCATATGGCAGAAATATGAGAGACACATTAATGGTGCTAGTCTTCTGAAAAAATGCTAACTATAATTATATGATTAGAATTGTATTTTTGGACCTCTCTCATAGGCAGTATTAATGTTCTAAATTGCTTTCAAAATTAAAAAAAAAGCTGCTTCCAAGCTAAACTGCAGAATAGGAAATACTGTTGTTCATCCTGGTAGTTCTTATTTTAAACAAATCTTGGCAGTGTCAGCATACTGCTACTGCACTTGAGGCTGACCACGCAAAGACTTAGGAAAGTGAGTCACTTTCCTCTCATAAGTAGTCCTATTGACTTCAGTGGGATTGCTCACATAAATAAAGTTAATCATGTGCCTTTGTCTTTGTAACACTGGGGCCCTTCATTTGGTCAATTGTGATTATATTATACATGCCTCGTGTACTATTTATAAAGGCCTTGATCCCGCATTCCTTATGTACCCAAAACTTGAGGGCCAGTTCTATGGATATATGAACACTTAGGTGACAAGAGGTGCACCTGATATCACAGTGTTGGGGCTGGGAATGGCAGAAAGAAGGATGGAGGGGTGAGAGTAGCTTCCAGGTACAGAAAGCATGTTGCAGGTTTAACAGTGAAGGTAAAATCACTGGAACAATTTACCAAGGCCTCTGGTAGGTTCTCCATTGTTTGAAATCTTTAAACCAAGACTGAATGCTTTTCTAAAAGATATGCTGTAGTTCAGACACCAATTATTGAGCTTTATACAGGGATTACTGGGTCCAACTCTATGGTCTGTCAGAGTACTGGTCCTTTCTGGACTTAGTCTATGAATCTATGATCAGTTTGATAATGAACCTGGCTCTGTTGGCTTTTAAAGTTGTTAATGGAAAAGGACCTTGGTATATATAATAAGACCGTCTCCTTGAATGTTATTTTGGTGAGCGTCCATGTTCTGACAGCATCTACCTTGTTAGGGACTCCACCATCATACCATAGGTTGGTGTGTGATTGACCTTTACTGGGGTGGTCCTTAATCACTTGGAATTTGATCCCTTTGGACATCCACATGAATCACTTGGGAAAATGGTCTTTTAAAAAGTATTTTCATTTTTAATCCCTGTTGACTCTATGTAATATTCTCCTTAGTGCACCCCAGTGTGTAATGATGTAATTCACTTGGCTTTTTAGTATTTTATTTGTTTTTTGTCTGAAGTTTGAAATTGTGTATGCAGCACCTCAACCAACTTGGCAGGACAGTAGAACTTGAGGAATAACATTTTCTGTCAGGGACGAAAGGGTCCTTCACAATAAACTAAATTTTTCCCGGACGAACACAAGCACTGCCTGCTGGACAGGGCTGATTGCTCAGCTGAGTTTTGGATTGGAATTTAAAAAATAACTGACCATATTTGGAGTTGATTTTTCCTTGATACTTACTAACACTTTAAATAAAATAATAATAATTAAAACTTAACAACAAAAAGGCAACATTGAAATTGAAATACTTCTCTGAATGTGTGTAAGAACATAGAATGAACAGAAGTTTTTATATTTCTTATGCTTTCATATAGAAAACAAAAGGTGATCGATATGTTTTTGTTTTTACAGGCCAAAGCCTATCTAAGGATAACTACTGAAATAGTAAATAGATTGCCAACTCCTCCAGCATGACGTGCTCATCTCGGGTACCTGTGATCAGAACTTAACAATAAAGTGACTTGATGGTGTAAGCAGTGGTGGAACAAGCAGAAATACATAAGTTTATGGATTATATATTGTATTTGTAAGAAAATTGTTTTGAAGTTTAGTAAACAAAGTTTGAAAGTATTGTTATTTTTTATTTGTCATGACATCATTTGGTTACATTCAAAGGTATTGAAGGATTCAGAAGGAAAATGCGTGGTACCTGACATTTATATATGGTCGGCCGCTGCTGATTTTTAATATCCTTGAACAACAAGGACAAAGTGCATCATTCAGCAATGGAGTTTCCCTCAGTTTTAACATGAAGGTTCAGCCTGTGGAAACTCCAGTCCCAGAATACAATGTGCCATCTTCGTCCAAGCCGAAAGACTCAAAAGTGGACCATGGCATGTTGAGGATTATAGGCACACAACTGTATAAAAGATGAGGGCATCTGCAATTTCCCCAATTTATGTACATTTTTATTCAGACCTTGGTGCTCTTGTTAAATTGCCAACATGGCCTTAAATTGGGCAAAGCATCAAGGACTTAATTAGCAAACTGAAAACTATGTCATTACCATATGTTTGTGTACTTTTACACTTAAGCCTCAAAAACAATATGATAGATCTGCATATTCTGAAATGATTTTTCCTAATGGTTCAAGAACAAATTTCTTCCCTATTGGATTATATTGTGTTATGAGGTAATTTCCTACTTATGGGATAATGGACTATATGACCTGTAGGCAAATTATTTGCCTGCTTTGTGTTATGTTGAACCCAGATAGAAAACTAGATAACAGCAAGGTCTTCATTGTAAACCACATATCATATCTGAGTTCAATTTGGCAAGGGAAGTAAATGACAAAAATAAATTAATTTCATGACTGCATATAGGCATGTGTTCCCAAGTCAAAGTAACAATGCAGGATCTGAATGTATAAACTAAAGAAGCAAACTAAGATACGATCTTCAAACTATCAGAGGGGTAGCCGTGTTAGTCTGAATCTGTAAAAAGCAACAGAGGGTCCTGTGGCACCTTTGAGACTAACAGAAGTACTGGGAGCATAAGCTTTCGTGGGTAAGAACCTCACTTCTTCAGATGCAAGTAATGGAAATCTCCAGAGGCAGGTATATATCAGTGTGGAGATAACGAAACTCTCTTTTCTACAGAAACAGTTTCTCCTCCCTTGGTGTTCACACCTCAACTGCTAGCAGAGCACCTC